GGAGCAGGTGGAAAAGGAGGCACAGGTAGATATCATAAAGAAAGAAAGCTATCGCAAAGGTAGCAATCTTCCTGTTATATCAATTTTGTTTAATCTAACAATAAATTTAGAGGATATTCCTAGTAAATACTAAGATAAATTTATTAATTTTATAATAATAATAATCATAATCATAATAATTTGTAATAAAGTTTTCAAGAACCGCCTTATATATATAAGACAGATTGATATTTGTTCCAAAATGTGTCACTCAGATAAACTCCTAATCCCTGAATCACGTAAAATCCCTGTATCACGTAAAATCATTTTCGTGAGTATAATAAATTATTATGTTTTAATTCTTATATTTTAGGATTTATTGAAGACTGCCCTTCTTACCAATAGAACAGATTATGTGGAAACGCTTCTGGATTTAAACGTACCAGTGTCTTTAGACGTCATCGGTGAGCTTTACAAGGTATATTTTATAACTATACCAATTGGTGAGCTATACAAGGCATGTTTTATAATTATATCAATTGCAAATGCCAAGCGATACAAGGTATATTATACACTTATGGAATGGATATAAAGACAATAGAATATTTATGGTTAACCGAGGGAGGAACCTATTTCCCGAGGCGGCATTGTGGACCGATACAATCATAGGATTTTTTCTTTCAATTAGGTATTCGGATGTTTTAAACAAAAGTAAAAATAAAGGCATTTATGTATAGTCAAAAATTGTTCAAACTGTTAGAAAACTGTGGCATTTTTAAAAAATCTTCTTTTCGAGAAACACTGTGCAGAGAAAGATGAAACTTATAGCATCCTCGGGTAGTGCAGATTCAGGTTTGTTGAAATCAGGACCCTGGGGGTAGGGCCACAATGGCCCATCAAAGTTTTACATAGACATATATAGGAAAATTCTTTTAAAATTTTCTTCTCAAGAATAGCAAAGGCATGAATGATCATATTTATTTGGAAGCCTCTTCAAGTAGTGTAAATTCAGCTTTGTTAATATCATGACCCCGAGGGTATGGCCGGGCCACAATGGCCAATCAAAATTTTACATAGAAATATAAAGTGGAATTCTTTAAAAATCTTTTTCTCAAGAATGACAATTATAATTATATTTATATGGAAGCATCCTCAGATAGTGTAGATTCAGGTTTGTTCAAACCCCTGGGGTAAGGGCGGGGCCAAAATGGCCGATCAAAGTTTCACATAGAAATTGATAAGAAAATTCTTTAAAAATCTTCTTCTGAAGAATAGCAAAGGCATGAATGATAATATTTTTATAGAAGCATCCTCGGGTAGTGGACATTCAAGTTTGATAAAATCATTACCCCTGGAGGTATGGCAGGGCTTCAATGGCCCATCAAATTTTACATAGAAATTAAAATGAAAATTCTTTAAAAATCTTCTTCTCAAGAATAGCAAAGTTATGAATAATCATATTTTTATGGAAGCATTCTAGGTAATGGACATTCAATCTTCAAATCAAGGCCCCTGGGGGTAGGACGAGGCCACAACATGGAATCTATGTTTTAATCTAGAAATTTGTAGAAAAAATCTTTAAAATCTTTTTTTGTTTTCAATAATAGCAAAGCCATGATTAGTCCTATTAATATGGACGCATTTTCAGGTAGTGTATATTCAATTTTGTTTAAGTCTTGGCCCCTGGGGGTAGGGCGGGGCCACAATGTAAGTTCAAATGTAAAGGTCAATAAAGATACAGGTAGTCTAAGAAATATGCAAGTTAGTGTACATTCAAGTTTGATCAAATCATACCCTCTCCCTTTTAAGGATTGGTTGGGACCACTATTGGGTTTAAACTTTTCAATAATAAATTGATTTCTGCTTTTTCATAGCCACATTGATCAGTTGAGCGATGTGGCTCATGGGACTTTTGTTTATTTCTCTATGCTTATTTGCAGCTGCAATATTAATGTAAAGTTATGGTAGATTAACCCGGAGTCCTGTATTTGGACTTATTTTGCAGGATATCTTTTTCTATTATTCATAGTACAGTTTAAAATGAATTTTACCATTGCTAGTCCTTTGAATGCGTGTACATTATGTTTCCAGAACGGCTCATCTTTGGATTTTACTCCTGTGAAAAATATTATCTCTGTTTTAGTTTAAAGACGTACAACACACTGGGGGAGATAACTCTTGCGATTTCAATTGAACGTTTGACGTGACGTCAAATTTAACGTAAGAAATAAAGCGTTAAAACGACGAGTAAAACGATCCCGATGTATATCATACATGAAAAAAAATGGGATAAATGGGGCTTGGCTGTGATTGTGCGTACCATACTCAATAAGTATTTTTTTGATTAACCCGATTAAACTCCGTAAAAAGCAAGACATAAAATACCATCCCTTAATGTTAATTTCATTTCATTTCATATATTTTCAATAAATTGTATTTTTTATCAAAGCGCAGCATTTTTTTTTATTCTGAAAATTTCATTTTACATTGCCGAAATTCTCATTTTGTACAATTGGCTATATTTAATATTCCGATTTATGATCTTCATTACAATATGTGCAAACACGATATCAATACAGTTGTATTATTTTCTTTTTTAATTAAATAAAACAACAATAAATAAACAAAAAACTTTTTACAATGTAAAATCGATGTTGTTCTTAGACCCTTACTGATCAAAGAGGAACAACTCTGAAAATGTAGGAGATGTTTATTTTCCTCCCTTTATTCACGGTTTTCCACAGAATCAGATACATTTGCAGCAATACCTGATAAATCCGAGAATTGAATACTATAGACCTCATATACACAATGTAAGTATAGAATTGAAAAGAATTGTTCACTTATACTGAAATTATCTGCATTTATGAATATCCTATTGCAGCAAATCGTAACTTTGATTTTCTGTCAACAATGTCGGTTCGCATTTCCTCGAATCTAAACAAAACGTAGCCTTTAAGATTTTTAAAAAAATATCTATGTGCGATTTGATATAAATTGAAATAGATGAAGAGTTTAATGTTTGATATTTTGAAGTTCATGTGGACGAATACGGAATTTTCATTTTAACTTTAGAAGCGACGACATTGAAAGAAATGCATACAATATCATGAGGGGTGTATGTACATCTAGGCTAATGCAAATGTCGATGTATCCCCACGGCCACATACTGTCTCGTTTGAAATAATGACATGAAACTGCGATTATTCCATTTATATTACAGTAGAGTTGAACATAAACCATTTTTTAATGAATAAAATTAAAGAAATAAAATTAAATATCAACATATTCAAGTTCAACAAAACTTAAATTCGTATCAGGTTTCATGTGATATGGAATGCATAATGCATACGTATATGGACTAAACACTAATATCTTTCAGTAATTTTTTCCTGATACATATAGGCCTAAAAAAAAGTAGCCAATATTTATTCTGCATTCATGACTAAAAAACTAATGCATACCTCTGGGATTCTTGACGAAATGCCAGTATATTTGCACTGTAAACGACGTTTCGTCAAACTCTAATGGTCTGCGACGCAAAAAAAGAAGGGGTGGGGGTGACAGGGGTATTCAAAAATTGCCTTAAAATCTACATTTAAATACGCTTTACGTATGGGAAGTTTTAAATTTGTAAGTTAATATATTTTTCAAGCAAAAAGCAATATTTCAATTAAACTTTTTTTAATGTGTATTTGTAGATTCATATAACAAAGTGATCGAACCCGTCTGAAAGACGCGCGGGAACGTGATTTATTGAGAAAGGGGGAGGGGGTAATTTTCCGCTATTAAATCAAAACTGGTCGTACAAAAATTATACAAAAAATTAAGAAGATTATTTTTGCTACCAGCTACCTAAAGAAAGTTTTTTACCAAAAATAAACGACAGGTTTTTTCATCAAAAAATTCTGAATTTGAAAAATACGCAATTTTCAAGGCTTAGAAAATTCATAGTTTTTCAGTTTAAGGTCTTTAAAAATTGTTTTGATGATATGTATATCAAAAAGATGACTATGTGATTGTGTTAAATGGTTAAAGGAATAAGCCAATGAAATTTGACATTTATATCTAATCTCGATTTTTGAAAATCAAGGTTAAAGTAGTTCATTGATTAAAAATTTTCTCTCCTTGTAAACACCTAAAGGGGGGTAACTTCCGGAAGTTCCTGTCCAAAAACCACTCGAACGATTGTGTCCAAAATATGCACACATGCAGTAGATATAGTCATGTACTAAATATACAAAAATAACGAAAATTAAACGACAGGAATTTTTGGGGGTAGGTGTGTTGTACATCCTTAAGGTCATATCCGATTTATATCTCAAGGAATGCTGTAATGTTCATATAAAAAATGTATTTTTAAAAATATTTTTCTTTTCAAAGTAGTTAAAAATTTAAAACAAATGTCCATTTCTAAATAACAGTTACCATTACCAACGGTTGCAACAGATGTACATTTTTTTTATAACTGTTTGCATAACTAATGATTAATACCAATTCCACTTTTTTCCCTAGCAGTTTGCATTACCACTGTTTATAACAGATGTATATTTCTTTATAACAGATGTACATTTCTTAATAACAGTGTACATTTCTTTGTAACAGATGTACATTTCCTTGTTGCAGTGTGCATTTCTTTATAACGGTGTACATTTCATTGTAACAGATGTACATTTCTTTATAACAGATGTACATTTCTTTTTAACAGATGTACATTTCTTTATAACAGAATCATGTATATTTCTTTATAACAGTGTACATTTCTTTATAACAGTGTACATTTCTTTATAACAGTGTACATTTCTTTGTAACAGATGTACATTTCTTTATAACAGATGTACATTTCTTTATAACAGATGTACATTTCTTTATAACAGAATCATGTATATTTCTTTATAACAGTGTACATTTCTTTATAACAGTGTACATTTCTTTATAACAGATGTATATTTCTTTATAACAGTGTACATTTCTTTGTAACGGATGTACATTTCTTAAAAACAGATGTACATTTCTTTATAACAGATGTACATTACTCTATAACCGTGTTCATTTCCTTATAACAGATTTACATTTCTTTATAACAGATGTGCATTTCTTTATAACAGATGTACACTTCTTTAAAACAGATGTACATTTCTTTGTAACAGATGTACATTTCTTTGTAACAGATGTATATTTCTTTGTAACAGATGTACATTTCTTTGTAACAGATGTACATTTCTTTGTAACAGTGTGCGTTACCAGTGGATGGTACGGAGAAGAGTGACTCATCGGGAATGCGCTGGGTTTTGATGGTAAATGAAAGTTTTGTCAGGAAAGGAACTATATTTGAGATTTCAATGTTATTAATATACTAAATGCAGAATATCATATGTATTTCCATTGCCTTTGGATGTTATCATTGTATTTTATTCTAAATCCAAAATGTTCTAATACCAGTCGTTAAAATTTTCCAAATGATGACTTTCTCTCACTGATTATATTTTTACATGTAAAGGAAGACTTTTAAAACCCATACAAATATTTAGAGATAATAATTTATATTTATGGAATGCAATTGTTTTACAAATAACAATTGATTTTTTTTTTATTAGATATCAGTTTTTTTTAACTTGATATGAATTTATATTGTAGGAAATGGGAGGGGAGGAAAAGCTCGCAAAGCATCTTTTTGAAGGTGAGGAGGACTGCCATGAAGTAGCACAGAAGATGTGTAAACGCCTCCTCAATTACAAAAGTACGTTTATAAGCTTCTTTATCCAAACTGTTACTTGCTTTACTCGCAAGTCTGTAATTTTCCTAAATTACGAAAATCATTGTCTTTTAAAAAAAAATACAATTCACATCCTTTGTTTGAACTAACTTATGTAACACGGTAAAAAATATCATAGAAAAATATCATAGATTTTTTTTTGTTTATTTTTCCTATCAAGGATATTTATACTAAATACTGTAAATTGGCAAATAATCCCGATTGATTTAATTTTACTATGTTCGCGATTCGCCATTTTTCCGCGAAATTAAACCCACTTTAAAAAATGTTTAAATGCGTACAGGAAATTAAAATGAAGCTCTTGCAGCGTGGAATTAAAACCATCGCGACTGGTACTTTTTAAGAAATCGTGAAATTGTAGAATCAAAACGACTTACAGTAATTGTGAACATTAAAAAGTTTTTAAAAACTGTATACTTGACGACCCAGGCGTTTTATTTAGACTCGAAGGCTAATCAAGACAACTTTTTTTAATTAGTATCATTTACAAATGATATTTTTTTCCCTTCTTTTTCTAAAAAAAAAACAGAAACAGAAAATGATGCCCACTGCTCATCTTCAACCTGTAATTCTAATAGAATGAAGGAATACGTGAACCGACAAGAGTTCCTTCAGGCTGTCCTGTTGTGGTCACTTTTGACCCATAGAACGGACATTGCTACCTTGGTTTGGCGGAGGGTCAAGAGCCAGCTATGTATGCTATGTTTGTTTTCTTGCCATTTTCTTTGGCTTTTTTTCTTTTTTGGAATCTCATCATCTTGCAATTTAGTAATGTATGTTTGTATATAGATACATATTTTGGTTTGTTTATATGTTCTATTTGTAGTTGATAAATAAGAGGTCTGGATCTTCTAAAAAAGATTCATTTTTCAGAAAAAATGGGTTATTTTTGTGTTTAGATACCGGCCTTGAAAGTGCATTAATTTTGAAAAAGATGTCCTCCATAGCCAAATTGAAAGACGAGAAGTTAGCAATGAAGCTAAAAGAACAAGCAAAGTAAGGGAGTTAATGTACAGTGTTCATGTTGATCATGCATATTTTGTTTTACAAACCAAGGTTTCACTTTTCAATCTTGAACTAATTGTGACGTACAATGTAATAACTTTCAAAATAACGACATTGTCTTGAAATTGAAATTTACATTGAAGTGCAGTTTTAACCACATGAGAAAAATCGTACAAGGGCTTGAGCTTTATCTAGCATGTTTAAAATAATTTTTTTTCAATTTTAAAAACCAAACTGTTTGCTTTTTACTAATCGGCAGAGATTTCAGAGGCCGGATTTTAAGCATGATGGACAATCTTTATCAGACTGATGAGACTCTAGCGTTTGAAATTTTGGACGAACTAGACGTTGTATGGACTATTCAAGCCAAACCTCTATCGTTTGTGTATGAATCGAAGATGTACGATATTATTGCCCACCCTTGCTCTGTTGGTCTAATGAACAAAATATGGTTTAACGGTCTTATTCCAAGTGGAACAAGATTTATCAAAGATTTCTTGGCAAAATATATATTGTTGTGTTATGTTATCATGTATTTAAACAAAACTATCAATAAAATTCACCCTGTTGATGTAATCTACAAGCTGTCCTAATGTGTGAAGTATTTATTGTCTTTAGCATTAAAAAACTTATTTTTGAGTTTGATTAAATAAATCTTTAAGTTTTTGGACATTACTTTAAATGATAAGGATCATAGCAATGGTACATAGACTAAATGTAACTGACGTCAGTACTGTAAAATCTCATATTTTTGTGGGGTCAAATTTTGAGATACATATGTATTTTAGAAAGAAATACCGGTTTTTCGAGTTTTGGATGGAGAAGTGTTTTTTAGTATCAAATGAAATTTAACATTTTTGTCAAATATTCGAGGGTCTCTCCATACGTCGAAAACATGAAAATTAACCACCCACAAAAATTAGTGATTTTATTGTATTTGTTGATATTATCTATAATTTAAAATATGCAGGTGATAACAGAATTGATGCTTGTTTTGTAGAAACAATATCGGGAGGCAGTGCGCGCTCCTTGCTTCCACTTCGTTCTACATTACGTAAGTAAATCAAAGAGACAAGCAAACTTCGTTCAACATTACGTAAGTAAATCAAAGAGACAAGCAATTTTTGTTCTACATTACGTAAGTAAATCAAAGAGACAAGCAAACTTCGTTCTACATTACGTAAGTAAATCAAAGAGACAGGCAATTTATAAGGAATAAAGTAGTTCTACCTTGACTTTTTGATTAATAACAATGAATCTAATTATCCGAATATGTAGCCCTTTTTTAGCCCGATATACTTTTTTAGGTAATGTATACGTCTAGTAAGTCCATATCAGTAACCCATTTATCAGAAACTGTCTTTAAATAATGAAGCTTAATGATTATGCTGTATGAACAGGAGAATGGATAAGAAAAAATAACACTCAACCTTGTCCATTTGAAAAGATAAAATTTCACAAGCAAAAATATGCTTAAAGCAATCATTTCAAGAGATGGTGATTGTCCAAAAAGAAAAAAATGTGGAACTTAAGAAACTGTCGAATTTAAGAAATTGTCGAATTTTAAGGTATCCGATCCATAAAATGACACAATTTTCCAACCTTAAATATTCATCCTGTATTAGTTACTATAGAAGTAATTAAAATCATTTTAAAGTAGAAAAGGAATTACCAGGAGAATTAAATTTTCAAAAATATAATTACCTGAGCTGTACTTAATTAATTAAGAATGCATTGAGGTCTACGGGAACAAGCAAATATTTAAAATAGAAAATGAAATAATATGATATCAAAAATGCTATGATGGAAAGATTCATATAATTATAAAACATAAAAAAAAAACCCATTAAAATGAAATTTGTCACAAGTTAGATTTTTAGAATAAATTTAATTGATTAAAAACAATGGGGATAACTCTTCGAAGACAGGTCTAAGTCAAAAATTGGGACACATTCCACTCTTACATATTAATGCTAAAACATCAAGACTATGTTTACATAGACTGAGTGTTCAGCAAATATTGTCTATTATGCATCCAGATTAATTAAATCTGAGACTAATATGGATTGGATACCTTGAGAAAATGTCGAATTTAAGAAACTGATGAATTGTCGGCACGTCATCGATTTTTCCTTTTTCAGAGCAATGCAAAATTAGAAAGTCAGAAAAAAAGAAAGGAAAATCTAAAATTTGATGCATTTAGCATTATCCTTAACTTTGAAATCAAAACTAATTCTAAATTCTAAAAATGTCACTGTTTCAAGTTGCATTCTTTGAATGGACTTCTGGGTATTAATACCATACGTAATATCTCCATATATATTTCAAAGATTTGAAAAAAAAAACGATGATAATTTGAACCTCTGCGTTACACAATCACTCTGCCTGGTGTACTTTTGTAAGTCATAATTTTATTTTATATAGATTTTCTATGGCTGCATCCTTATCATGTACGGTTACATTTTGTTGATTCCACTGAAGACGTATGATAAGACGCCATTGCTTTTTCTGGTGTTTGAGAGTGCCCTGTACGTCTGGACATGCCTAGACTTCATCAATGACATAGGCTCTGTGATGGTATCTCTGTTTAACAATTGCTAATTTGCTTCGTAGTTTTTTTTTTATTATGTTCGTTCTTCAGATATTTCCGTTTTGCCCAATCATTGCTAACAGCGGATGTGTCAATGTAACAGGGCATGTGCAGGACCACGCGTTTGATGTCTCAATTTTTTTAACGTTTTAAATTCATGTATGAAGGATATGGAGATAACGAACAGTATTCAATATCAAAGTCCAGCAAACAATAAAAATTAGGAGCAGAGCAAACAAGGGCCTCCAAAACATCAGGAATGGAATCAGGTGTCATGGTGGAGTTCGCATCAACTGTTAACGGGTTACAACTGCCGTGTGCTCATTGTCATAATCGGGAAATAAGGGAAAAAATCCGCCTTCAATTCGGTGTATAAATAATGGACTATCAATTAGTATGAAAAACGTCAGTCAGCATTTGACTGAATGACAAATCATATTTGCTTACAAGGTCATTCTATCAACCATAGAAACCTTTAAATGAGGCTGCTGATATTCTTTTCTCATCAACTGGTATATCGAAAGGTTGTTTAGGTACTGTTTACACAAATAATAAAAATTGCATTAAGACAATGTGTAAAATGAAAAAATATATATTTACATGTTATTATAATCAGATTTTTAATCGACCTCTTTAGACACATTTTTCCAAAATAATTTGTAGCTCACCTGAGCCGAAGGCTCAAGTGAACTTTTCTGATCACATTTTGTCCGTCGTTCGTCCGCCCGTCTGTCCGTCTGTCCGTCCGTCCGTCTGTAAACTTTTCACATTTTTTTACTTCTTCTCAAGAACCACTGGGACAATTTGACCAAACTTGGTACAAAGCATCCTTGGGTCAAAAAAGCTGAAACATATGTTGAAGCAATCTAGGGTAGTGTAGATTCTAAATTTTTCAAATCATGACCCCTGAGGGTAGGGCGGGACCACAATCGGGAATCAAAATTTTACATAGAAATATATATAGGAAAAATCTGAAAATCAAAGCTGAAACTTATATGGAAGCATACTGGGGTAGTATATATTTTAAATTGTTTAAATTATGATTAGTGGGGTAGGATGGGGTCACAATATGTATTTCAAGGGGGAAATCTCGTAAAGAACAGAATGGCCAAAGGTGAGCGATGTGACCCATGGGCACTGGCAACAGGTATCATAATGTCAGTGTGTATCTGCCGTTCTAATTAGAATATCTGAAAATCAAAACTGCTCAGTTTTGGTTGATAATGCAGTATTTATCGCTTGGACTGTTGGTGACCATGATTCTATTGAAAATGACGTAATTTCCCCTCCAGTCAATGTATTATGGTGTTGTAAAATGATTCATTTTCCCCACATATTTTAAATTCCTTTGAAAATGACCTTAATTTGAAGTATTTCTTTTCCGATTTCATATAGAGCACAACGTCTGATCCAAAATATGCAATCACAAATTGAACAGTCTGTTTCTGCAGATTAAAAAAAATAATTTTTGAATCGTTGCCTGTGGTCATTTGTTAATTCTTTGCTGAAGAAAGAATAATGCGCCTGTTTCTGAAGAATTCAGGAACTTTGCATTTTCTCAAAGCCTTTCAATACTCAAATACCAAGATTCTCAAGAAAAAATTACTGTAGGAAATGAAAACACAAAAACTCAACTTTATTTTGATATATGAAATGGGAAAGAAGGTGATATTTCATTAATTCATATAAGGACAGGGCCATTCTATGCATAAACTGAACATAGCTCTTTAAAATATATAGACACATGTTTTTCGTAAATATTTAGTGTGTACATGTAAATGCAGTTTTGTTTTGAAAAACGCACAGTACAGTGTTTAAAAACGTATTCCACTGCAAAATCTTGATGTCGCTTCCTTCATTTACTTTCAAGACAGAATTTTCAGCCATATCAGCGTTTCTAGAAGATTGCGGGGAACGTTAAATAATTCTTTTTTTAAATAAAACTAATACTCGCAAAGAAATGCATAAATCTTTTTTTTTATACCAAATCATTGCATGTCGCTCAAATCGAACAATTTCAGTTATGATCTTGTTTTAAATATTTACGGACAGAATGCAGATTCCAAAAAAAACTGAAACTTATGTGATACTGACCACGTTTTGTATCGTTGATTTCAGTTGCAATTATGCTATTTTAGCACAACAAAAATTAATTTGAGAAGAACAGTTGTTTCCCTTAAAAATTATATTCCGTGACAGTTATTCAGGAAATCTCTTGCATTAAAGGTTTTAATTTAATTTAATTTCTTGGGGTTGTGTCGAAATTATTCATACGTTTGTTGATATCCTAAACAAGAGGCCCGTGGGCCACATCGCCTACCTGAGTACTGTGGCTTGGAAAACATGAGTTCAGTAAATGTTTAAGTGGTCCCGATCCTACGAAAAGGGAGGATATGATTTGAACAAACTTGTATCTATGCAGACTTTAATCAATATTATCTTAGGATGCTTACACATTTTATGTCTAACTGGGACTTTCCCCTATATTTCTAACTTTTATTGTGCTCCCTTGCAACCCTGGGGGTAATGTATTTAACAAACCATTATCTAAACTACCCGAGGATGCTTCCATATAAATATGACCGATCATGGCTATGCTGTTATCAAGACGATTATTAAAGATTTTTCCTGTAGATTCCTATGAAAAACTTTGATCGTCCATTGTGTCCACACCCTATCCTCGGGGTCATTTTTAGGAAAAAAAATTGAATCTGCACTACATGAGGATGCTTCGGTTTAAGTATGACAAATCATGGCTTTGCTGTTCTCGAGAAGAAGATTTTTACAAGATGTTCCCTATAAATTCCTATGTAAAACTTTGATCGTTCATTGTGGCCCCGTCCTACCGCCGGGGGTCTGGATTTGAACAAACCTGAATCTACACCACTTGAGAATGTTTCCCCTCAAGTTTCATTTTTTCCTGGCCCAGTCATTCTTGAGAAGAAGGTCTCGAATATTGTCTTCAATTTTTAGTAATTTTTAATTATCTC